TGGAGTTGACATCAGCCAGCAAGGCTTTGGAGGAAGCCGAGAATCAGCAAGGCCGAGAATCAGAGGAACGGATGTTGGAATCCTTGGATCAACATCCACGTACTTCTGAATCACGAAATCCGCTGGAAGCATCGTCAACTTCCACTGAGAATGGACAGAAATCTGCAGGTGTGTCGAGGGTAGGTGAGGCATTGTGGCGGACGTGCACGAAGCTTGCTGTGGCCAAGGAGGAGAAGAGGTCACTAAGCTGGTGACAATTTGAACAATTTTAAAAAGGATTATATATACTCAAGTGAATCTATTGTTTCGCAGGTGTCAGATCAACTCTGAGATGTTCATTGCATTATTCTTTCATGTTAGCCAGTGAGCAATTAATTGAACCCGGCAGTCAAGCAGACAGGGCTGTGGACATCTCGCTGTCAAGCAGAGAGGGCACCTTTTTGTTTTTTGATCTCTTCTAAAACAAGTTCCAAATGTTGTCCCTCCGACCTCCAGAGTGGTCTTGCATTGGTTTCTTTCCGTTTATGTTTGTTTTTTGTTAAACAAGAATTAGTTTGCTTAAGCCCTGGCACGTTTCTCAGAGCCTTTTCTCGCTCTTCCGCGCTTAGGACGGAGGCCGCTCACGAGGCCCTCCTGAAGCTCCGCAGCGTCGCGGCCGGCGGCGCGGTTGGCGCGCCGGAGACGCGCGCGCCAGTCGAAGGGACGAGGTCCTGGGCGATGTCGCCCGGCGTGGCAGTGCAACGCGCCAAGGCGCGGTTTTTCCGGAGCGGGGTCGGAGAAAAGGACAGATGAACATCCCAGGGGTGCTGCAGAGCGCTGGTGAAACAGGATGAATGTTGGGTGTGGTATGAGTGTGGGTGGAACAGAGGTTGCTTGAAGATGCAGGGCGGGTTGATGGTGCATGAATGTATTCTATTTTTGTTGTGTGTGTGTTGTTTGTGCTTGGTGTGGAGCCTTCTTTGGGATTGATTTGTGCATTGAACCCTGCAAAGCTGCAAGTTCCACGTCTGTAGATTCCATATCTCCGGCCTCGCATCCCAATGACCTTGGACCTTCCAATCCCTGTGCCATCCTGTGCCCAATTAAGCCGGCTAAGCCGTCCTGGCAGATTTTCAGAATGGGTATATAACTTGAATTGGATCCAGGTCCCAGTCAACCAGTGATTCCGAAGAGCTATGAATGCCCAATGCCCGCGCGTCAAACCACGCAATACCATATGCACCCTTCTTGTCGACCGTTAACTGGAAAAGCGCGGTCTCGAGGCCAGCGACTTGCTCCTGAAAGCTTTAAAGAAGAGCTCAGAGCCGGAGCCGAGCTGAACGACGACTGAAGCACGGCACCTTCAGCTCGGCCCTGATCATTTCGCGGGACTCAGTGGTCGCGTGGCACCTCTTTTTGAAGTGCTGGCTCAAGTCAACAAGGCTTACTCAGAGATTTGAGTACGATCTCCTTCAAAGAGGTCCGGTAGTTTGCCAGGTGTTTTGCAAACAAGGTGCAACGTTTTCTAGTGGCAGATGGTTTAAACGTTTCCGGTGACCGTCCGGTTACCGGTTCGTTCCTTTGTTGCGCAGTCTGCATCAACCGGAGTCCCTGGTCCAAATCACACGGGAATCCTCCCAAAAGCACTGAACGCGGTCCTTCCACAGAATGGAAGGGACGGGTGTCAAGGGACAGAGAGTCCTCTTTGATGTTCTGAAGGAACGATCTTCGGCGTCCTTCCATCGACATGTCCAGGACACCAAGCCTCCCAGCTGTGCCTGGCAGAGCCTCGCGATGGCCTTGCACCACGGATTTGGGCACCAAGACGTTGACAAGGCCTCGAAGAGCGGAGAAGCTGTTGGAACTGGAGCGCGAGCTGCGGAGGTTGTTGGTGCACAGCTACCAAGCACTCTCGCCAAAGGAACTGAGGTTTGTTGCAGAAGCAAAGCTGCAATGTGAGCTTTCCTTCTTTCAGCGCGCTGGATATTTAGAGGTCGAGGAGACACTACAACACTGGAAATGGTATTTGTACTGTGACATTTGACAGCCACTCATTCACTGAGAACAGCCTCAAAGGCTGGAGTGTAGTCCCAAGGACACCGCTCAAAGGCGCTTTTGTAGTTCGAATGCCGTGGGACTCGGTGCCAATGCTTGGTATGGATGTTTAGATCCAGCACAACTTGAGACCACTTGGTCAGCAGTCAGGTTGATAGCATAGCACACCGGGCGCATATTTCGGATGTCTAATATTATGATGTTACCAACACCTCTCAGATCCCTTTGGTTGAGGAGTGGATATTTAGTTGGACAGACTGACAGACATCCACACATTTGAGCCACCCCAGTATTGATGCAGACCCATTTGACTTTGGGTGGTGCATGTTGGTGAGTGTGGGTCTTGAAATCATCCAGGTATACCACAAGATTGGCATGCAGAACACAACAAGTGATGGGTTTGGTGCCCGCACCATTGCTTTGGGCACCTGGAGGTGGACACTGAAAAGGGTTTTTTTTCGACATGGGCTCCATCCACGGCAGAAGCAGACGATGACCAACTCAAGACGCAGACAGCAGTGGAAGATGTAGAAGATTGTCTTTTCGAAATGACCTGTGCAAACAATGGGGCGGTGTCCGTACAGGCATTTTCCAAGTCGGAGTCAACAGTCGCTCGAGCAGCGCAACGACATGGTGGAAGACATACCCTAGAAGTCCAAAGACTATATAACATGTAACACCTATAGACTATATAACGCCTTCAATTAATGTATATTCAGGATCATAGAGATGCATAAAGGACATTCCTGGTTCAGGTCACCTGTAGCTACAGTGTTTCAAGAAAATTGTTTTGGAACCAGCGCTCGCCGTCGTCACCGAGTTGGATGCTGAGACCTTTCGCTGGCAGGAGTCACTGGTCAAAAACATGCACACGTATGAGCAGCACATTGATGTGTCCCTTTCCAGAATCAGAAACACCGGAGGTTTTCGGTCGAAGGCCCTGAGCTGGTGTGGATTGCCCCGAGCTCTCGAAGACCATCTTCGAGAGAGTCTAATCATGAAAGTAAACTGCACACACAGCGTCGCCTGAACAGACCACTCATCATTTGGAGCGCTTGGCATGTGTTTGCTCCAAGAGCTTGCCCGTTCCAATGAAGAATCGATCGATTGGTTGAAGCCAGTATTTCCCATACACTCCATGTATTGAATATATGCCTAAATTGACCCCCCAAACCACCCCAATGTAGCCATATAATGGAGCGGTGCTTGTGCTTTCTTTCGCTATTCTCTCTTTCAGACCACACCTTTTGATGCGTGTATTTGCTTGTGTGTTTGATTCCCAGCTTGTGGCTCCAGGGAATCACAGAATGAGAGCTCTATGAGTCGGGGATGCTCCAAAGAGCTATAGTAACACACTATATCCATGGTATCACCATATATCACACTATATTCAGTAGCGAGTCGCTGTGCAAGTCGGTTTCCTTGACCTTTAGAAAGCTCAAAAAGCCGCCGACCCGGACCTGTCTATATAGGCGGCCTTACCAGGCAGCTCTAGGGATCCAAGAACTCATGCAAGCTTGCTTTCTGAGTCTTTGGCGCCAAGAAATCATGAGAATCATGCGAGACCATGCGAGACCCCTTTTAGGATCAAACATTGGGTTGGTATAGTGTGATTGTGAGGGTGTGGGTCGAAACCCGTTGCAGTCATCTTGGAGTGATGGAAGTGGATGTTAAAGCTATCGCGATCTCCAGGGTTTCAATCTCTTTCAACCCACTTTTCGACCCACACACTTGGCGCCGCCGCTTGTTGGGCAATCCAATGTAACAGAAAACATCGCCAGAGTCGGACGAGAGGACCCCCCCCCCGGTCAGTCACGGTCCTAAAGTCTTCGTTCAGAAGCAGAAGTTCCACGATCCGTCCAAACGGTGCTGGATGCTGACGACAGATGCTGGCACTTGCTGATGACAGATGGCGAGGCCCGACCTGAGAAGGGCTCAGAAGCGGCGCCTGAAGCTTGGTGTAGAGAAGAAAGGGCGGCCGTATTGGCGAGGCCAGACCTACACCCCTCTCAGATCTTTTGGCCTCAAATCCTAAATGACGATCTTTTGATGAACCACCACTGATCTGCGAGTTCCATTACTTTTGGGAAATCTTCCAGATTGGCAAGCAACAGATATGCTCGCTCTGGTTGGTTGAGCTGGAAGTGACCTGACAGAACTTGTATCGGGCATGTTTGATTCTACCATACTCGACCTCCCAAATTGATTAGACCGATTGTCAAAAAGTTGGATTACGGTTCAGAACCTTCAGATGACTGTGCAAGGGCATGCCTTTTTTTTAAAAATAGAAAAGTAGCTTGGCACTTGGCTTTTGCCCATCCATGTTCCATTTTGCTTGGTTCAGGCATGAAGGCCATCAAGGCAACCCTCCGTGCCAAAATAGCTCATAGCTTTCTCATCAATTGCCCCTCTGACCATCTCTGACCTATCAGTTCTGAATGGTTATATAATTTTCAGAATATGGCTTCGTTTCGCACATGGGTTTGGGGCAAAACTCGCCATTTTACGCCTCCAAGTCTTCGAGTGACGACTGGTGCCCCTGTCGACCTTGC